TTATGTGAGTAAGCACCAATCTATTCTTTTTCTTTTTTTCTTTTTTACCATCAATTTAATGGTGTTGTGGGTTTTGTTAATTCTAGGACTTAATTTGATAGTTTTATAACATTTAAGTCCCGAATTGAGAAAAAAAAATATTTCAGACCTCGAATTGATAGTTTACCCATCTTTCGGGTATTGTATTGAAAAAATTCCTTAAATAAATATAATTAATTATTGTTATTTTTAGCAAATTAAATGTAGAACACAAGTTTCATATTAAATAGATAAATGCTAACTGTACGTAATAAATGTACATAGATGTGTACATAACACTCACATGGAGTGAGATCCACTTGATTTTTTATTTTTGGTAAGATCCACTTGATGTGAGTGTATGTACATCTATGTATACTATTATGTACTTGTAGCATTTCTTTATTAAATAATATCACTTTGTTAATTCTTTATTGTTTATAATTCAATTCCAAATATCCGTATTTTACTACGGTACTCGTACCAGTACCAATATATTTATTTGTAAACAAGCAAACCATGAACCTTTTGATATTATTGGACAAAAACGCCCCTATCGTGACCAAAAATATCTCCTCAACCTTCTGGAGATTTCAAATTCAAATTCCTCATATTCTCTCCATTCACCAAAACTCCCCCACAAATACTCTACCCTTAGGTTGAGTTCTCATGGTGAGAGTTTTCCTTCTAGTAAGGATTAGTTCCACATAGTTGGATTCTTGCTTTGGATCTTAATTTTTGGGGTGTTCTGTTGTTTGTTTTTTCCCAGATCTAGGATCTCAGTTCTCTTTTAGCTTTTCCCTTTATTTTCGTTTTAATTAGGGTCTGTTCTCGTTTCTTCTTGTCGCTTTTTCGGATCTCATTGTCTTCGTTTTTCATCTTGTTCTTCCCTCTTCCTTTTCGGAGTGGTTTCCTCTCTGTCATTATCCTTGGTTGGTTCCTTTCCTGTCCAGTATGGCGGAAGATCTGACTGAAAAACTAAATAAATTTAGGTTATCAGCAAAAGAGGAGGTGGGCTTGGAAATAGTAGTGGATGATTATGCGCTGGGTCTAAAGGAATGCCAGCAAAGTCTGATTGGAAAGATCTACGGGGATAAGAAAGTTAATTTCAGTGGGTTAAAGACAACCCTAACATCGATATGGGTCACTCAGCAACAATTCCATATCCGAAGTCTAG